CCATATTAGGTATTTATTCTAGCTAAGCAAAGTTATTACTTAGAAGTCAGGCAAGGTGGCTTGAGCCTATAATCCCAGCACTTTAGGAGGCTGAGGTGGAAGAATCACTTGAGTCCAGGAGTTCTCAGGCTAATACACCAGCCTGGGAATCATAGCAAGAACTATTCTCCACAAAAGTGTGTGTGTATATATATATACATATATATATACATATATGTATATATATATGTATATATATACACATATATGTGTATATATATATATAAACTGGGCGTGGAGGTATATGCCTGTAGTCTCCTACTCAAAAAAACAAAAAGAAAAGAAAGTTATTACTTAGAAATAAAGAATGTGATTAAATGAACAATTCTTTGGGGCCAAAATGGCTACCGCAGCCTAAACCCGCTGGGCTCAGGCGATCCTTCCACCTCAGCTTTCCAAGTAACTGGAACTACAGGCACGCGCCACCACACCTGGCTAATTTTTTGATTTATTATCAAGATGAGGTCTTGCCAAGTTTCCTAGGCTGGTCTTGAACCTGTGGCCTCAGGCAATCCTTTCACCTCAGCCTCCCAAAGTGCTGGGATTATCGTGAGCCACTGCACCTGGCCGTATTTTTTCAATAAAAATTTAAATCACATATGAGAAATAATTTGATAGAGGTGAATAAGTCTTAGATTGCAGTGCAGTGACATCTGCTTGATGTTTAGGGTGAATTAATTAGGACTTAGAAAGATGTTTTCATCTACAATATACTACTAAAATGGAGTTGGCTAGATTACTATTAAGTTAATAAGGTGGAACACATTTGACAAACTTAATGACCTAGAGACATTTTTCATTGTTTTGGTGAGACTAGACTTATATAAGTTTGGACCATAAGAAAAATTAACCTTTATGCATATAGCCATTAAAAAACTTGTGTCTTCATATGGGCATTGGACATTTTACTGTTTGTCTTTACAGTAGATATATTTGTCAGTGATCAACTGAGGATAGGTAAGACTCTGGCTTAGCTTTATTCTGCCTTTTTTTTTGAGTTGGAGTCTTCGTTGCCCAGACTGGAGTGCAGTGGCCGCTCCCGGCCACCGCAGCCTCGACCTGCTGGGCTCCGGCAATCCTTCTGCCTCAGCCTTCCGAGTAGCCGGAATTACAGGCATGCGCTACCACGCCCGGCTGATTTTTTTGGTTTATGGTAGAGATGAGGTCTCGCTGCCCAGGCAGGTCTCGAACCCGCGGGCTCAGGCAATCCACTCACCTCAGCCTCCCAAAGGCGCGGGATTACAGGCTGAGCCACCAAGCCCGGCTTATTCTGCCTATTTTTACTTTCTAGTAGGAGAAAAAAATGATAATAATCATGACTATCTAAATATATTTTGGAGAAAATTATACATAGATCTGTTAAGCAGTAACTGTATAGGTGATAACATTTATTTATTGTTAGTCAGTGGCTATTTATATACAGTTTCCAACTGAACTATAATATAAACTTAACTGTAGATATTGAAAATGTCTAGACCAAAAATACTATTTATAAAAATATTAATAAAAACAAAAACCTGTAGTCCCAGCTACTCAGGAGACTGAGTGGGGAGGATTGCTTGAGCGTAGGAATTTGAGGCTGCAGTGAGCTATGATCACACCACTGCACTCCAGCCTGGGCAACAGAGCAAGACCCTGTCTCTAAAAACAATACAATTCAGCGAGACCTCATCTCTACAATAAATCAAAAAATCAGCTGGGCGTGGTAGCACATGCCTGTAATTCTGGCAACTTGGAAGGCTGAGGCGGAAGGATCACCGGAGCCCAGCAGGTCGAGGCTGCGGTGGCCAGGAGCGGCCACTGCACTCCAGTCTGGGCGACAGAGTGAGACTCCAACTCAAAAAAAAAATACAATTTTTGAAAAATACTCTGTGTATTTTTACTTTTATAGGATTATTCCAATTTTACAGGATTAACCAAACAATGCACAACAAACGAAATTGACTATGATAAAGCTAAAGTAAGGTTATTAATTTTCTTCACTTATTTTACAAATATGTGTTGATCATCTGCTGTGCACCAGGGAATAAGAAAATTTCTGTCTTCACAGAGCTCACGTTCTTTTTTTTTTGAGTCAGAGTCTCACTCTGTCGTCCAGGCTGGAGTGCAGTAGCGTACTCATGGCTACTCCAGCGTCAACCTGCTGGCCTCAGGTGATCCTTCCATCTCAGCCTTCCAGGTAGCTGGAACTACAGACATTCACTACCATGCCCAGCTAATTTTTTGATTTATTGTAGAGACGAGGTCTCACCAAGTTGTCCAAGCTGGTCTCGAACCTATGGGCTCAAGCAATCTTGCCTCTGCCTCCCAAAGTGCTGAGATTATAGGCTTGAGCCACCACGCCTGGCCAAGCTCACATTCTAATAGAATTCAAAAACAGGAATAGCAGTTGAATAATACAGGCTCGACTTAAGATAACGCCAGTGGTTTTTCTAAATGTCCCTGAGACAGTCCTAGACTACTGTGCATGATCTGCAGGTTTGTCTTGGTCAAAATTAGGTTGTCAGTTGAATTGTATTGGTATTCGTAGAATCTAGGTGAAAACAGGTCCAGAGAACTCATGCATAAATGATTCATTTTTCCAGTTATTTAGGTAGAATAATAGAACATAGAATGTCAAAAATTAAGTGAGCACTTGTCCCTCACTGAGTAAAATCAATTTCCACAGGAATTAAGTTTTTAGCCAATTGGCTGTAAGGCATATTGAAGTAAGATGAGGAAGTTGCAAATATTTTTAGATCAAAATATTTACAAAGGTAGCTATCCAGCTCATATACCATGTGTCATTTTAAAATCCTCTTTGTAGCCAAGATTTCTTCTCGGTATCAAATTAAGAAATTTAACATCTGTGCTTTCTGGGGAATCTATCTCTCCACGAACCTCAAAGTAGTTGTAAACTTGTAGATCAGAATCTGGCTATGTACTCAACTCAGAAGACTTATTAGCAATAGCAGTAGGCACCATTAAGTGCCAGTGTAGACTCAAGTAGACAAAAAAGAAGAAAGAAAAGTAATCAAGGGGGAAAAGCAGATATAGTGAAGTGGTAGAGTCTTGCTATGTGTGACTTCTCTTTGGTGTAAATCCGTAACTACTCCTGAAAATGGAAGTAGAAGGAGGTGGGAAATACTCATTTTGTTTTGGAAATATAGTTTGCAAACTTGAGTAGTCCTTATTTCTGAAGAAAATTTTTAAAAGAGTTCTAAGTCCTGCTTAAAGCAGAAATGTGTTCCCGTGTCAACTTGTCAAATTCGAGTTTTATTTTTAAAGATGTGGGGTACAAGTCAGGATAGGGTAAATAAGTGTACAGGTGAAGTTTGGGTCTCCCATTGGACCTCATTTCACCTGGATTAGGATCAGGCACCCTTACTGATGTTATGTGCCCCCCCCCAGCACACCCTGAATTCAAGTTTTCTTTCTTTTTTTTTCAGTAGGAATCTCACTCTGTCACCCAGGCTGGAGTGCAGTGGCATACTTATGGCCACCACAGCCTTGACCTGCTGGGCTCAGACAATCCTTCCTCCTTAGCCTTCCAAGTAGCTGGAACCACAGACACGTGCCACCACGCCCGGCAAATTTTTAAATTTATTGTAGAGACGAAGTCTCATCAAGTTGCTCAGGCTGGTTTCAAACCCCTAGGCTCAGGCAATCCTCTTGCTGGGATTACAGGCATGAGCCACTGTGCCTGGCCAAATTCAAGTTTTCTAAAACATTAACTTAGAAAAGTAAATTTTACTTGGAAGGCTGAGGCGGAAGGATCGCCGGAGCCCAGTAGGTCGAGGCTGCGGTGGCCAGGAGCGGCCACTGCACTCTAGTCTGGGTGACAGAATGAGACTCCAACTCAAAAAAAAAAAAGAAGAAAAGTAAAATTTATTAATTACTTAGTGGCATTTTCTAATGAGAAGCTTGAACTTCTCATGTTGAGGAGAGACATGCTCAGACTCTTATAGCCCTTAAAAAGTTTTGAGACTTCATATTGCCAACAGACATATGCTAAGAGGAGAATGTAACAGTTATATAATTGAGTAGTATTAGCCTCCTGGAGATTTCCAAACTGTATCCTATGATATTCCCTGGTCATGTTGAGAAGTATAATTCAAGGCACTTAGAAGGGTCTTGGGGAATATAGCTTGATAAAGGAACTGTTTAAACTTGTAAATATTTAACCTGCAGTGTTAGGCCCATACCAGGGGTTCTCAGGCCAGTACACCACAAAAAAGGGAGACTATATCTTGATATACTACCTTTTTAGCATCAAAAAAAAAAAAAAATAGGCATTTGCCAGGCTCGGTGACTCAGCCTGTAATCCCGCACTTTGGGAGGCTGAGGTGAGTGGATTGCCTGAGCCCACGAGTTCGAGGTCCGCCTGGGCAACTTGGTGAGAGCTTATCTCTACAATAAATCAAAAAATTAGCCGGGTGTGGTAGTGTGCACCTGTAGTTCCAGCCACTTGGAAGGCTGAGGCGGAAGAATCACCGGAGCCCAGCAGGTCGAGGCTGCGGTGGCCGGGAGCGTGCCACTGCACTCCAGTCTGGGCGACAGAGTGAGACTCCAACTCAAAAAAAAAAAAAAAATAGGCATTTAAGGCCAAGTGCAGTGACTCACACCTGTAATCCTGGCACATTGGGAGACCTAGACAAGAGCCCAGGAGTTCAAATCCAGCCTAGGCAACATAGGGTGACATTGTCTCTACAAAAAAATTAAAACATTAGCTGGGTGTGGTGTTTCATGCCTGTTATCCCGGCTGCTCGGAGGCTAAGGCGAAAGGATTCCTGAGCCCAGGAGGTAGAGACTGCAGTGAACCATGATTGTGCCATTGCACTCCAGCCTGGGCAATGGAGTGAGACTCCAACTCAAAAAAAAAAAAAGGCATTTAAATCATGACTTACAGTCAACAAATTATGGAATGAAATAGTTGGTAATTTCTGTGATTTTAAACCTTTCTTTTATTTTTTTGTGTGCAGCAATGAAGACTACTGGGTGTAATTTAGATAAGGTAAATATTCTTCCGAATGCCCTGATCACTCCGCTCATATCAACCAGTATGATTAAGAGTGAAGATATTACTCCAATGGAAGTAACAGCAGAAAAAAGATCTTCCCCTCTTTTCAAGGTGAGCTATATTGACTAGTGCCCCGACCTCACATATAAAAATTGCTACATTTTATTTTTCCTGTTTCTTTCACTTTTTTTTTTTTTTGCTTTGGATGCATTTAATGAATTTTGCTTTTCAGAATGGATGCTTTATACTTCAGCAAAGTTGCCCACAAAGTGACTTCCAAGACACATTTTGACAAGAGAGAATTTAAATGTTAGCTAGACCTGTGGGGCATGAGTTATTAATGAAATAATTGATTTTAGCATATTCAGAGTTAGAGGTATTTTTTCCCCAGCCTTTTCACATAACTCTTCCTGCCTTTTTTTACTTGTTTTCCCCCAAGTTACTTGTTACTGATAATCTGCAAAATGGAGATATTTTGATAAGTGCTCTTCATGAACCATAGAATGAATGTGTTCTTATTACCCTTAATTTGCCTAAGCATATCAATAGCCAGTTGTTCTTCTCCTTCCTTGTTAGACTGTCTTTGCTTATAGTACTTTTTAACGTATATCCTGATGACAATCAGATGTCATGTTATTGTGGAGAATCATAGTTCTTGTACTTATTTTCTAAATGATAATATAGAATGGAAAATTGGTCTTGCATATACTTTTAGAACAATAGTCTTTTTTTTTTTTTTTCTTACTTGGAGTGTCACTCTGTCGTCCAGGCTGGAGTGGAGTGGCACAATCATGGCTACTATATCCTTGACCTGCTGGTCTCAGGTGATCTTCAGCCCCTCAAGTAGCTGGGACTACAGGCACACACCACCACTAATTTGTTTATTTTTTGTAGAGGCAAGGTCTTTCTGTGTTGCCCTGGCTGGGCTTGAACTAATGGGCTCAAGTGATCCTCCCAAAGTGCTGGGATTCCAGGTGTGAGCTACTGTGCCTGGCCCTAGAATAATACTTTTTAAAGCAGCATATGAACTTATTTATTGTTTATTCACTTTATTTGGGGATTTTTATTTTTTAGACTACAAAGACAGTTGGATCAACTCAGCAAACGTTAGAAAACATCTCTAACATAGCAGGAAATGGCTCTTTTTCATCACCCTCATCTTCCCACTTACCTTCTGAAAATGAAAAACAACAGCAGATTCAGCCAAAGGCATACAACCCAGAGACCCTGACAACTATTCAAACACAGGACATCTCACAGCCTGGTACCTTTGCCGCAGGTTCTGCTGCTAGTCAGCTGCCCAACAGTGATGCACTACTGCAGCAGGCTACACAGTTTCAGACAAGAGAAACTCAATCTAGAGAGGTATTACAGTCAGATGGCACAGTGGTCAATTTGTCACAGTTGACTGAAGCGTCACAACAACAGCAGCAGTCACCACTACAGGAACAAGCACAGACTTTACAGCAGCAGATTTCATCAAATATTTTTCCATCACCAAATAGTGTGAGTCAGCTACAGAATACTATTCAGCAGTTGCAAGCGGGAAGTTTTTCAGGCAGTACTGCTAGTGGCAGCAGTGGAAGTGTCGACTTGGTCCAACAAGTTTTAGAGGCACAGCAACAGTTATCTTCAGTTTTATTTTCTGCTCCAGATGGTAATGAGAATGTTCAAGAACAGCTTAGTGCAGACATTTTTCAACAAGTCAGTCAAATTCAAAACAGTGTAAGTCCTGGAATGTTTTCCTCAACAGAACCAACAGTCCATCCCAGGCCAGATAATTTAATACCAGGAAGAGCTGAAGGTGTTCATCCACAAAATGAAAACACATTATCTAATCAACAGCAGCAACAACAGCAACAGCAAGTGATGGAATCATCAGCTGCAATGGTGATGGAGATGCAGCAGAGTATCTGCCAGGCAGCTGCCCAAATTCAGTCGGAGTTATTTCCTTCACCTGCTTCAGCAAATGGAAACCTTCAGCAGTCCCCAGTTTACCAGCAGACTTCTCACATGATGAGTGCATTGTCTACCAATGAGGAGATGCAAATGCAGTGTGAGTTGTTTTCGTCACCTCCTGCAGTTTCTGGAAATGAAACTTCTACAACTACCACACAGCAGGTTGCAACCCCTGGCACTACCATGTTTCAGACATCAAGTTCAGGAGATGGGGAAGAAACTGGAGCACAAGCAAAACAGATTCAGAACAGTGTCTTTCAGACCATGGTCCAAATGCAACATAGTGGGGACAATCAACCTCAAGTTAACCTTTTTTCTTCTACTAAAAGTATGATGAGTGTTCAGAATAGTGCTACCCAGCAACAAGGGAATGGTTTATTCCAGCAAAGTAATGAGATGATGTCACTTCAGTCTGGGAATTTTTTACAGCAGTCTTCTCATTCACAGGCTCAGCTTTTTCATCCTCAGAATCCTATTGCCGATGCTCAAAACCTTTCCCAGGAAACTCAAGGCTCTATTTTTCATAGTCCAAATCCTATTGTCCACAGTCAGACCTCAACAACCTCCTCTGAGCAAATGCAGCCTCCAATGTTTCACTCTCAAAGTACCATTGCTGTGTTACAGGGCTCTTCAGTTCCTCAAGACCAGCAGTCAGCAGCCAACATATTTCTTTCCCAAAGTCCTATGAATAATCTTCAAACTAACACAGTAGCTCAAGAAGAACAGATTTCATTTTTTGCAGCACAGAACTCAATCTCTCCACTTCAGTCAACATCAAACACTGAGCAGCAAGCTGCTTTCCAACAGCAAGCTTCAATATCACACATCCAGACCCCTATGCTTTCCCAAGAACAGGCGCCACCCTCCCAGCAAGGTTTATTTCAGCCTCAAGTGTCCCTGGGCTCCCTTCCATCTAATCCAATGCCTCAAAGCCAGCAAGGAACAATGTTCCAGTCACAGCACTCAATAGTTGCCATGCAGAGTAACTCTCCATCCCAGGAGCAGCAGCAGCAGCAACAGCAGCAGCAGCAACAGCAACAACAACAGCAGAGCATTTTATTCAGTAATCAGAATACCATGGCTACAATGACATCTCAAAAGCAGCCACCACCAAACATGATATTCAACCCAAATCAAAATCCACTGGCTAGTCAGGAACAACAGAACCAGTCAATTTTTCACCAACAAAGTAATATGGCCACAATGAATCAAGAGCAGCAGCCCATGCAATTTCAGAATCAGTCCACAGTTTCTTCACTTCAGAACCCAGGTCCTACCCAGTCTGAATCATCACAGACCTCCTTGTTCCATAGCTCTCCTCAGATGCAGTTGGTCCAAGGGTCACCCAGTTCTCAAGAGCAACAAGTAACACTGTTCCTATCTCCAGCATCCATGTCTGCATTGCAGACCAGTATAAACCAACAAGACATGCAACAGTCTCCTCTTTATTCTCCTCAGAACAACATGCCTGGAATCCAAGGAGCCACATCTTCACCTCAGCCACAGGCTACTTTATTTCACAACACTGCAGGAGGCACAATAAACCAACTACAGAATTCTCCTGGCTCATCTCAGCAGACTTCAGGAATGTTCTTATTTGGCATTCAAAATAGTAAGAAGCTTTTTCTAATGTCTCATTACTTAATTGACGTGGTGAGGTTATTATTAATATTATTTTCAGAAGAAAGCAAAGAACAATTATTCTAAGAGTACCGATTATAGTTAGAACTCTACCACTTATAGACTACGATATCCTATATAAGTTATTTGACTTTTATGAGACTCAAGTCTCATGTCTAAAATGGTGATAACATGTAATTACAAGGATTTGGGGAGGATGAAATATGGTAAATGTATGTTTGCCATTTTAAGCAATATACTTGAAAGGAAAATGAAGTAAGAGTGACAATATCTTAGCCAACTGAAGAATACAGTTTCTAAGGAGATAGAACCCCATCTTTAATGTTTATATACCAAGGAAATAAAATAGGACTTATAATGAGATCTATGCAAAGTTGTATGTTTATACTGCTTAGAGGAAACGTAAGATTAATTTTAGTACCATTCTGTGAAAACCTTTTTCTTGGACTGCCAGGTGCCTCACTGTTAATAAGAACATGGTTATTAATTTCCCCCAGCAACCAATAAATATCTCTTATTAATCCTTACTAATCAAGTAGCTTCTATTTTTCATGTCTCTGCAGACTGTAGTCAGCTTTTAACCTCTGGACCAGCTACATTGCCAGATCAGTTGATGGCCATAAGTCAACCAGGCCAGCCACAAAACGAGGGCCAGCCACCTGTGACAACACTTCTTTCTCAGCAAATGCCAGAGAACTCTCCACTGGCATCCTCTATAAATACCAACCAAAACATTGAAAAGATTGATTTGCTTGTGTCATTGCAAAATCAAGGGAACAACTTGACTGGCTCCTTTTAACTGGATACATGTAAGCATTGTATATTGCATTTTGGCTTCTATTGAACAGCATCAGTTTTTATTCTCCATGACAAATTTGGGTTAAGTAATAGCAGTTTAGTTTCTAAACCTTTAAAATATGGCTTTCACACAAGTAGGTACTTTTTTACTCTGAATAAATTTCTCTGAATGATAGCTTATGGTCACATTGTTAATACAGGGTAAGCATCCCTAATCCAAAAATCTGAAATCTGAAATACTCCAAAATCCAAACATTTTTTAGCACCAACCCTGTGTCATAAGTGGAAAATTCCACACCTGACTTCATATGATAGATCGCAGTCAAAACATAGGCACACAATACACAGTTTATTCAGCATCACAAAGGGAAAAAAGACTCTCCCAGCCCTCTTCAGTTGCGATGTATCTTTTCAGGTGTATATGAAACATAAATGAGTTTTGTGTTTAGACTTGGGTCCATCATTAAGCATATGCACATTTCCAAAATCCAAAACACTTTTGGTCCCAAGCATTTTGAATAAGGAATATTCAGCCTATATTGGGCATTCCTTCTGCCTCTAAGCTTCTTTGCCTTGGAATGTCAGAACATCTAATGAGTGTGCAAAATGTGTTTCCTTTGTATTATATATTGGATATGACTATATCTTATTTATCTCTTTCTCAAGAAATACTGAGTCAGAAAAGTCTGTGGAAGATTAAATATGATTAAGTTTCACTTACAGTACTGTAATGTACTTTGGAATCATTCAGAGTAACAGGAACTCTATAAATGCTTCCCCACTAGTGAGTTATATTAAACTTTTTCTTTTTCTTTTTTTTTTTTAGAAATTCCTTGACGAAAATCCTGATTCCAAGATGTTCTGAGATCTTGTGGTTCCATGAGGATTACTGAACTGTTACTTTAAAAACAAAACAAATTTTGAAAAACTGTATTTGAGTAAATGGATAGATTTTACTCTGACTGCAAAAGAGCACACCTGTGCTGCCTGTTGCAGAGATTAGCTACCAATGTTAACATCTTCATATTTTATATTCCTAATAACAGTGATGACTGAGAAGCTATTTCTGTTTCCAGCTGGTGGAATTAATTGATGTTATTTTCGTAGATACAGTTCTTTAAAAGTACAGTTTAAATTCAAGGCTGGACCACTCAGTTATTATTGCTATTGGAAAATAATATTTGTCATGTTTACTTTTGTTCATTATTTTCTTTTCTGCATTGTTTTGGTCAAGTAATGACTTTTTTGAAAGTAAAGTTCAATAATAACTTAGGCTGTGTTTTTTTTTTCAATATAAAAAGCACAGCTTAGGCCAAAGTGAAGGAATTTTTTTCAGTTTTTATGGAGAAACTGAAGGGGAAACATTCTGACAAGTGGGCTGTATTAAGAACTCTATGCAGATAAGAGGACTCTTGATTTAACACTAAGGCAGACAACACACAAAACTGGAGACAGCTGGAATGCTATTGATTTTATTTTTTTCAGAGTTGTTAGTTCTCTGTGTTTCTACTAAGAGGTTTAGCCATAACTGTGCATAGAAAAGTAATTATCTTGCTCTATTAAAAAATGAAGGGGATACTATATGGTAAATTATGTTCTAATATCCTGCAGTAGTTTAAACTGACAATACTTTGAGTCTGTTTTCTTCTTAACCCAGTCTTAGACTGGTGTTCCCTTTTTATATGTATCTGTATTATTTCCCACTTCTTCTTTATTTTATTTTAGACAACTATGAATATACTGCTGGCTTTGTGACCCTGTAGTAACTTAAAAGAAAGGCCATTTTACCCTAGGGTGACCAGCAGTCCTGCAGCACAGGGCAGGGAGTTCTCTTTTAGGAAGGATTGGGAGTTGATTCCTGAGAAACAGTGCATTTTCCCCCCATGAACGGTGCTGTTCTGAAGTCTTCAAATTTTCCCTCTAATAGGAAATAGTATAAACTTTAATTTTTTTAAAAAAGGCAAACTAAAATTTCTTGAAACATCATTTCTCCCTGAACTGCAGTGAGTGTAAATTCACTTGTCACCTCAGTGCTTTATGGTTTGAAGTGGTCACTTGCCGATGGTTCCCACAAGCCTTAGGCTTTACAGGGTCATATCATTGACTTAAAATGAAGAATTAACTTGTGTTACATCTATAAAGAGCAAAATAACACACTCCAGAACTTGCAGTTGTAGCATTAGTTATAAAGTTTTGGGTGTTCTTGCCACCCATGGGATGCCTGCTTCTCACTACCACCTGTGTCTGGACACGTGCTTATGTCTCCTGTTCCTTTTGGCATGTGGAAAGCTGTCAATGCAGTGTAAGGCCGATGTGTGTGTGGCTTATATGTGTTGATATAAAATTTTGGTATCCTTGTCCTTTTCATTTATTTTTTTAGGTGTACAAAAAATAGCCTGTTAATTGTTGAAGGCTACTTTTCTGTTCGATTTTTTTCCTATCCTGTACATTTAGTTGAACTGTGTGGAATTGTGGTGTTGGTTTTGTTTATCCAGCCAGACTTTTCCCCCTTTATGTAACGGTCTTCCTTTGTTATTTGAATGTGCTCTTCTCCTTTGTGTTTTCTCTTTATTCTCATGTATTCTTCCCTTTACCCCCAACCCTTTCTTTCTTTCTCTCTCTGATTGAGAGGCATTGAATTACGTTTTCAGTAGTACAGGCTTCTTGCCGATATGAAGGGAACTTTTCAGAAAGAGACCTACTCTGGGTCATTTAATTTTGAATACAGTTTTCAATCGTTCAAGTTTTGGATGGTTTATATCTAATGTGTGTTTCATTTTTTTGGAAAGCTATATTTTGTATTTAGGAAATGGTATACTATTTTGCTATTTGTACTGAGTGAGTACATTGGCATAAATATAGAAATTTATATATATACATATATATAAACTATTCTTTTTTTGCCACACATTTTTGTGGTAAATTTGTGAGTTTGTCTGATGTTCTACCACAACGTGGCGTCTGATAACAGTGAGGGGGGGTTTGTTATGTCTTTATTGAGTATTTAAGTATCTTTTGAAACAAATGACCTGTTCATCTGTGGCCATTCCATCAGGCAGTTCCTTGATGTTATTAGTGGGCTAACGGCAGCTTACTGTGTGTTTGCTGGATCTTTCACTCAGCAAAATGTTAGAGCAAGGAAACCCATCAAGGCCATTGTGTCAAATGGTGTTTCACAAGAATGAGCCATTCAGTCTTTGCTCACTATATATTTAATATTTTATTATTGTTGTTATTGTTATTATTAATTGGCTTTCTGTATCCTATGCCTTTTATTTATAAAGACACTAAAAAAAGACCATGTTTGTAATTTTAATAACATTTTCCCCATCTTGTAATATCCAGAGCTACTTTATAAATTCTCTGAACCAAAAGTATTTTCCTCAGTATATCTCTTCTCCCTCAGCCCCAATTGGGAAAAATTACCCAATATAGTTCAGGTTATGAGGAGGATCAGCCACACAATCCAGTGCTTCAGTTTTAAAATGTAAAACTCTAACCCTAGAATAGGGTTACCTTTAATGTCAGACAAACCAAACCCAGCAGGTTTAAGAAGTAGAAGTGAAAAACTGTACATTTATTTCTGAATTTTTTTCTAAGCGATTACAGAGGAGACTCAAGAAGTCTATTCATTCACCAAGTCTAATTAGAATGATTGTTAGTACTGCACTATGGATGAAGTGGTGGCAAGAAGACTGGCTTGTGTGCTGACTTCTGTTTTCTGGTTTAGTAAGTTGTAAAATGCTGATTGGCAATGCCAAGTCACCGGGACCAATTTTCTGTTTTATAATATCTAAGTTTAGAACAGAGCATATACCTGAACTGTAGTGGTTTGATTGGATGAAGACAGAAAACCTTATTTTTACTCTCATAAATTTTGTGGTTATTTATACAAGGGCTGTGTTATGCTTCCATAGTCTCATTCAATAATTAGAGTTTTTTGTTTTTTACATTGTTAAATGTTCCTTACCCCTAAAGGTCAATGTTAAGTACAACATTCTGAATATACAATTCGGTTATATATAAGAAGAATATTTGTCTTCTTATTAAAGCTCAGTGGTTGATACTTGTGCTAATAGTGCAGTTTCCTGATTACTGTTACAAGTTACACAGCGACATATGGGAGAGATTCAGTGAGCCAGCAAAGGCAGATGGAAATAACAATTTATTAAATTTATTTATGGCAGAAGGACCTAAGCAAACTATGAACCACATTTTATTTCTTTATATCATTACATTCAATTATTCTTGCTTTCAACAACTCACAATGCTTGGAGCTTGTGTGTGTGTGTGTGTGTGTGTGTGTTATTTCTTATTGTCATTCCATTTTATATTCATACCAACACAGGAAGATAATTAGAAGTCATATTTTGCCTCTGAACTTTATCATGTTACCCTTTAGAGTATCAGGTTGTTATTTAGCCATTGCAAATCTGTTTTACCCAGTCTCCCTAGAACAGGTTTTTAAAGGGCTTTATTATAGATATTATAGAAGCAGTATTAATGAGAGACCTTTCTTCCCCCTTCTTCCCTCCCCCTTCCTTTCTTCTCTCCTTCCTTCCCTCTATCCTTCTTTCTTTTTATACATATATATATATTTTTTGTAACATCACATGTGCTGTAGTTCGGAATTTCATTCTAGCACATTTCTTGCCTATATCTAAGAAAAATAATGTCAAAAGAAATGAGGAAGAAGTTGTATCCAAGTCCCTCCAGAACTAAGATAATTCTTTTTGACCATTTAAGCCATTATAAATACTTGTTTGGGGCCAGGCTTGGTGGCTCAACCTGTAATCCCAGCACTTTGGGAGGCCGAGGCGAGTGGATTGCCTGAACCTACGGGTTTGAGACCTGCCCACGCAACTTGGTGAGACCTCATCTCTACAATAAATCAAAAACTAGCCAGGCGTGGTAGTGCGTGCCTGTAGTTCCAGCTACTTGGAAAGCTGAGGCGGAAGAATCCCCAGAGCCCAGCAGGTCAATACTGCGGTGGCTGGGAGTGTGCTACTGCACTCCAGTCTGGGCAACAGAGTGAGACTCCAACTCAAAAAAAAAAAACCAAAAAAACCATTAAAAAAAAAAAATAATAGCCGGGCTCGGTGGCTCCGCCTGTAATCCCGCGCCTTTGGGAGGCTGAGGTGAGTGGATTGCCTGAGCCCGCGAGTTCGAGACCTCATCTCTACAATAAATCAAAAAATCAGTCGGGCGTGGCAGCGTGTGCCTGTAATTCCGGCTACTTGGAAGGCTGAAGCGGAAGGATCACCGGAGCCCAGCAGGTTGAGACTGCGGTGGCCGGAAGCGGCCACTGCACTCCCAGTCTGGGCGACAGAGTGAGACTCCAACTCAAAATAATAATAATAATAAATAAATAAATACTTGTTTTGGAAAAATGAGATCTGCTAAATGGATCAACAAATAATGACCAGAATAAAATGGTTTAATAGTCAAAGTCTCAAGTTCAACATGGTTATAAATTGTCACTAGATGTAATCATCTGAGAATTTTTTACTTTTCTGGTGAAAATGTGTGTTCTAATAGCTGTTCTCTAATTGATTTCTTAAAAGATTAATTGAAATGCATATGAGATTGATTAGCTTTACTCTGCTTCATGACCACAAGCTTCATCCCTGACCAAGACAGCCTCCTGCATCTGCAGCCTTTGGTCATATGGAGGGATTCAGTGAGGAGAGGCTGTGCAGTTCAGCAGATAGATTAGAAAAATAACTCCATATATATGCTAGTAAGTGAGTTAGTAGACTCTCATAACGTATTAAAAAGAGGCTTTCTCCTCTGTCCGTTCGTGTCACTAGAGCTGAATTGTGAAGATGATGTTTATAATGTAGTAAATATCAGAATAATATCTACAATATCATTTGTGGATGGTCTCAGTGCTCTAATGTTTTTAATCCTCATTTATTTTCATGTCATTTTAGCCTCATTTATTAATAAAATTCTGTTTTTACTCCACTTTCTCTTTCAGGAAATTTTTTAAATTAATATTTTATATCTGATTAAATGCTTATGGAAAAGTGCCTTTTTATCATAATAGTGCCCCCTTCTTTAATTTCATTTTTCACTATTGCCAAAAACACATAAAAAAAAGATTTTAATAGGTCTCAACGTTTCCTTTTTCCATTTAGCTATTTTTCTCCATTTCTTGTTCCCCATAGAAAACAACATCCCTTTAGCTTAAGAATAACAGAAAAGATATATTACTAGAATTGTTTATTTGGGGGAAGGTAAAAGATGACAGAATTATACTGTTTGGGTGTTATATAAATTAACTATATATTTGTCTTCATCTCAACCAACTAATGATAGGTCTTACCTGAATACTAATGAGAATTCTCCTATCTGTGAAACTCCATGCACAAAAATAAGTGTAGTTAAATTTCAGGAAGGAAGTGTTTAAAGCATTTTCTCTGATCTTAATTAGATGAAAATAAATCACTCCAACATAGTCTGGGTAAGACCCGGTGATGTCACTTTTTTCTTTAACTACACAGGGCAATGTTGTTCATTTTAGTGTACTTTGCCATCAGACAATTTACTCGATTTGCCTAGGAAAAAATGTGTCAAAGGAAATGTGAAAGAGATGATATCTGAGACACCAGACCAAGATAACAACTAGATACAGTTGGATGGAGTGTCTGACTAGATACAGTTGGATGGAGTGTCCTGAGTTTTGTTAAGTTTGCTTCTTTTCCAGCTCCTTACCACCAATAGTGGTGCTTGAAGAAGGCCGTCAGTAACAGGTCAGGACAGTTGTACCGTTAGGATAGGGCTGCTTTTCCCCATGCAAGTATTTCTGTGACTGTTAGTGGCACTGAAGACTGCAAACTTTTATGCAATATTGTCAATACCCTATTGATATTATGCACTTTAATCATTCCAAAGAAGCCAAGAATGCTGTACAGTGATGATTCCTTCTTCATGAATACATCTTAACTATTTAGACTACTGTATCCCTTTTTCTTTTGGGTAGCCAACTTGGTTATAAGTGTTATGTGGATTTTTCTAAAACGACTGTTAGTGGGACTTAAAACTTTGAAATGTGATTTACTATAAGGGGAAATTGCACTTTAGCAAATCATTTTAGACGCATTATAGTGTTCAGCTTGCTAATCTATATGTTTGAGAGTTCATTAAAACCAACCCTCTTTCTATATGTTTTGTGTCATGTCTATAATAACATTACCATGTATCATTTTCTACATATGTAGTATGTGAAAGCCACTGGTTCTCAAAGTATGTTTCTCAGTCCACCAGCTAGCATCAGTATTGCCTGGGAACTAGTTAGAAATGCAGAGTCTTGGGTTCCATCCCAGACATGCTGAATCAGAAACCCTAGAGTGGGGCCCAGCAATCTGTGTTTTAACAAGCCCTCCAGGTGATTGTGATGCACACTAAAGTTTAAGAACCACTGGTATAAATATGTCTAGTGAGAGGAAGATAGATTTTTTCCCCCACTTATACATTGTTCCTTATGTAAATTCAGCTTAACCTGGTTATTTATAATCATTTATTGGCAATGATAATTTATTCTCAGTACTGCCTATAGAGATACAGTATAGTTTATGTACATATACAACTAGTCTAGTTGATAATTCAGTTAACTTAGTTTGGCATTTTCCTACCACTTATTAAAAAGTTTACATTAAATTACTGATTTAAATATATAGGTGCAATGTTCTATATTTATTTTAATTGTTATGACATTTAAGTAGCTAATATAATTGACGGGTGCTAAAGTCTCCTGTTTATCCATAAAATGGGTACATTGTGGGCAGTATAATACAAGCTTTCTTTTCATTGCCTCGTACTTTACCAGCAGACCACAGTTTGCTCTGGCTAGACCAACTCTCGGAACAAAATGATCATTCCTTGTATTTATATTTGTATCTGAGATAGTAAATAAGATGGCTGGCCAGGTCAACATAGCACCTTATTTAATAATTTAATAGGTAAAATTTCTTTAAAAGAAACTTGCTTTGTATAAGAACTAATGCAGTAGAGATATAGCTATCCTTGGAGCTTCTGCTCCAGACAAGGGTTATTTACTAAAATAAATATTAAACAAGATAATACATTATATAATTTGGGCATTTCTCCTTTCTCAGTTATATGCATCATGGTAAATATAACCTAACCACAAGAAAAGTAAATTTATTCATTCGTTTTAATCTCCTTGTATAATTCAGTATCTCCATAATTGTTCAAATCTTCCTCCCACTGTTTACAAATCACCAGTTATTCACTCATAAAAGAAAAATTCATATTTCAGAATAAAAATAAATGTATACTCACTTTGTAAAAATCACCACTGCTGTCTTTCCTTAATACTAGCAGTGGAAATGTAAGTGGCTTACTCTAT